AATATTTAAGTTTATATAAGAAGACAGGAGTAAAATAGATATGTATAAAACTCGAACTAGCATTTTGATCTTATGATTTGACAATTAGACTTGTGATTTCTTAATACTATTTAGGTTTCATTTAATTTTTTTTTTTACTATTCAGACTTCGGGAATGATCAACTTCCGAATCTTTTGTTTCGTTTTCCTTGTATATTCGTCTAATTATTAACTGGAGATGACTAAACTTGAACTTCAATATTTAGATGCAGTGAAAAACTCTTATTCTATCTACAATCTAAAAGAATATTTGATTGATGGATCCTTGAGAAAACTTATAAAATCATACACGTATAGTATTACTTTAGATTAATTCGAAAACAACAAGAAACGTCAGGGCTACTCACATAATTCCGAAGCATTCTTAAACATATCATGTAGGGAAAATGATGTGATGATACGCCATGAATATATCAACAAAGAATATTTTAAAAAGAAACTTTTTCCTCAATTTTCAGTAGAACAAATGGCTTCTAAGACCGAAGAGAAGTCGCATACAATCACGTTATAATCTTTCTATCAGATGGACTTAATTATATCAAAAATTTATTAGAATTTGAGTACAAATCACGAAAATTACTAAACACATTACGTCGAAATTTCACCAAGAGATTTCGTTTCATGAGTAATTTCTCAAGCATCTTCAATTCTTCTAGAATTTGAAATCTATAAGATCTAGGAGTGTGATAAATCCAAATTGAATCCCAAAGTACTTGATCCAAATCTCAAATATGTTCTAAATTTATTGCATCCCTAATAAGACCTTAGCCGATCGATCTAGTCTAATCCCGACATGGATTTGAGATTAGCCTGTCTGATGGTAAACTAGTCATCATTGGTAGATCAACTGATCACTAACCAATAGATCGATCGTGAAAAATCCAAATCGATTCCATCTCTGATTCTCATAATTATTTATCTAAACGTTTTCAATTATTAAAAACTTACGTTTTTCTTTTGTTTGTCTTTCATTATCATCTTCAATATCAACTGATGTTTTTTGTAATTTTTCTAAAATCTCAGCTGAATCAATAGTTTGTATATCTAAATATCGATGCATTAAAGATAATGGTGAATTTGTATGTAACAAGGCTAGTAAATCCGACATATTCGGTAAAGGTGATACGCCATCGTGATACCTTCCAATAAAAGAAAACAAAACAAAATTAATTTCGAAAGCGAAAAAAAACTAGAAAATAAAATCAATCGAGTTTTATCTAGCACAACAAACTTACAGATCAATTCTAATACAAAAAAAAAGTAAATAAAAAATATCAATAAAAAAAAACTGAACAAATAATATGTTTAACTTACCGTCGAACATTATATAACCATGTTATAAATTCAATATGAGATTGAAATAATTGTAAACATTTCATTAATAAAGAACTTTTATTTCCTAATGAATTAATTGAATCATGTAATACAATTGCATCATTTATTGTTCTTACATGTGTCCATGCAAGAAGAAATATATAAAGATGTAATGATGTTAATTGTTCAATATTTAATAATTGATCAAATGATGAATAATCACGATTTTGTACCATTAATATTGAATCATTCTTAATAATAATATTTATAATAAATAAAAGAAGAAAAAAAAACAAACGATAATAAACTATTAACTTACTAATACACATGATATTAAATCTAATTTATTTTCAATTAAATATAAATAAATTTCTTTCCAAAAAAAATTTTCTTTTTCAAATGAATTTTTCTTTAAGAAATGTATTATAACTGTTTCATTATTTAATAATTCACGACGGTATTCACTTTCTAATTCACTTATTAAACGTGCTAAATCATTATTATTAAATATAGAACGATATAAAATTTTTAAATTAAATAATTGTCCATGATTATTATTTGCTTGTGTTGCATAAATAACAATTTTTTTTAATGTATCACGCATTATTATACGAAATTCATTTGTATCACATGAATAAAAATGTAATGAAAGAAGTAAATCAATCAGATTTAATTTTTGTTGTTCATTATTTAAACTTTTTAATTGTTGTAAACATAAATCAAGTGCACGTTTATGAATTTGTATGAACCATAAATGTATTGATGGAATTGAAGAATAAAGATAAAAACGAATAAAAGTATAAACACGTGGAATTTCATGTAACCATAAATCAACAAGAAAATCAGTCATAGAATCAGTTAGAAGAGTTGATGGATCATCATCAGTATTAGTACGAAGGCGATCAAATTCCTTAAATTACAATTAGACGAGAAGAAAAAAGACATATGTATATATAGATAATCATTAAGTATAGAAGATAAGAATCTCAAAAGAGAACTTTTTAGTCTTTGTTGATTGTTATTGTTGTCAATTGTTGCAGATTTTAAATCAAAACTAATTTATTATATCGGAGATACACATGAGCTGTAGTCTTTTCAAAAATTTGTTGAACAATGGGAATTTTTCGGAGTGTTGCTCATTAATCTAGATTTCTTTGTCTGATCTATACTCTGAGTAATAAAACGATCTCTTTAAACGAGCAAGAGCTCACTATCATACACGCTCGACGTATGTGTAAGCGGTTTACTTCATTAATTTTCTTCGGAATTTTATTATGAGTCTTTATATTTATTCTAAGATAAAACAGAGTTTTTGATAGCCAACTCGTGTTCTTTTAGACTGTTCGTTCGATTGAATATATCCAATCTGATACTCAAAACTAAATAGTATTTTGTGTCGTTGATAACTATCAAAGTTTATTGAATAGGGAATATTGTTATCATATCTACAGGATGTCCTTAAAGTCCGTCGTAAAAAAAAACATCAATGTCTGTCAAACAATTCAAGTTTTTAACATATGTTTCTATAGTATGATAACAAGTTCGTTAAAGTATTATTTCAGATGATTCTATCTAAAGCGAATACTAAAAATGATCACTATCGTCCGAAATACGTATGCACACTGATTTCGAAATATTTGAAAAAATAAAACATCACAGAAAATTTATTTTTCAATCAATGTATTTCCTTTATCGGTCCTTATTTTGAATTGAAGCAGATCTTTAAATGCGTCCTATATACATTAGTTTTCACTTTATATTCATGAATAAACCATTTAGGAGCACCCCTATTTTTGGTCATTTATGGTTCTTGAACAATTAAACAAGATTTTCACGATTTTTTTTCTGGAAGGTTCTGATTTTCTATAGAACCAAATCTGGACTACTTATGGCCCCATCAAACTTTGTCCGATCGGGTCGAAATTTTGATGGCAGATACTTGGAAGTATTCTCCAGAGTTGAAATTGGCCGTTTTCGTGTTTAACCTTCTTATTCGAATTTATAGAGTCTGAATGCCAACATCCTGATTTAAGATCTGAACTTTTATGTTTTTCGCTCAAAGGATAAAAAACAGCCTTTCATAAAAGCTTAAAACCACTCCTGAAACATAGTGTAAGGCACCTGCAAAACATTTTTCAGTCCGATCGAATAAAGTTAGACGGTGATCATAAGTGGGTCCTATATGGTCCTATGGAAAACCAGTTTTCCCAATGAAAATCTCAAAAAACTTTGTTAAAAAGTATAATTTTCCTCGAACACATGTCTCCTTATGTTAGATACTTTATCTTTGGTACAAATTTTATGTGGATACGTTGGAGACCCTTAGAAAATCAAAAATGACCAGAAAGAGGAAGGCCTATCTTTAAATAAGAGCGGCTTTGTCCGAAAAAAGTGAATGTTCTTGATTGTTAGTGTTCTCTAACACTGATATCGAAGTCATAGAAACTTAACTCGATTTTGTGAATCTTCTTTGTAAAGTTGTTGAACAAAATATATTTGTAGGTCTTCATTGGAAGATACTCAGTCATAATTTGGTATACTATTGCTAGTAAAGTGAATCAAAATGTTGTATCAACCAGAAACACTCAATAGCGGCTTTTACTACAAACATCATGAACATTGTCGAATTTCTCTGCTGTAACTCTTCATGATATTTGATCGAACTGTTACTGTAATGATGTCACAAAATACATCTTATGTTTGTGTATTAAATTAGCCTTGTATTTTTCGTTTCGTAAATTATAAGTTACTCGAATTTGACAATTAATAAAACTATTGGAATGCTTATATCTATAGACACAGACGTTTATTGTACAGTATATAGAATAAAACTTCAACAAACATACTGTTACATTATAAAAAAAAACCATGTTTTGTTTATTTTTATGATGACTTTTGAAATATCTTGTATAATAGAAATTTTTATTGATTATATATTTAAACACATACATGTTTTCGTAGAATGTATGTTCTTAAGAATGATTATGGTTGTAAATCCTTCTTCAATCACTGGACAAAACTAATTATTTTTTTACTTACTTGAACAACTTGCGCACTCGGTTGGATATCACCGACAGCCAAAAGAAATTTATACATTGCATCATATTTAAGTGATTCAAGTATTGCCTGGAAAAAACTCCACATTTTTTCATTAATTTTATTTTTAAATCGAAAAAATTCCTCCTACCACATCTAAATACTGTTTAACTTGACATTCTTCTAATAGTAATAAAGCAAAATGAAAGGGTGTTGGTACTGCTTTCGATCCCGTACTATAAAAAAAAACCAATATTAATAATAATAACAAAGTCTATTGGTCTTCTTACCAATAAGCAGTTGGATTTCTAATAATATCAATTAATAATTCTTCTAAATTTGTGTTAAGTTGTAAACGTTTATGAAATAAAATTTGCAAACATATTCGACATAATTCCCATTGTCCCAAATAAACATGATTACAAAAAGCTTGATATAATTGTTCATTATTTCGTGCTTCAACATCAAAAAATTCATGACGAATCTCTAATACACTCATTTTTATCTAGAAATAATGACAAAAAAAAACATATCAATGCGAACAAAAACATAACTGCTTGAGATAATGAGAAAAGAAAAGAAAACAGCAGAAAACACAATGATTTTTCTTTTTAAAATCGTTTTGAACTTGTCCAACCACTAAATAATCCTTTTGACTGTTTTACAGGTGAAGTTGCTGTTGCTGCTTGCTGTCGTTTTTGTTCTTCTAACTCCTAAATTAAACAAAAAACAAAAAGAAATGTTTTCATTAAAAAAAGCCAATAATAATTGACATCATACAAATAATTTTTGTTGTCGAATTAAGAATGCTTCAACCGGGTCTGTTTCTTGATTATAATGATCAAGTACATCACGTACATCATCAACACCACTCGCAGCAATCACTAAAGAGAAAAAAAGAAACATCATCAATGATTACTTAAAAAAAAAAAGAATCAATAAAACGAACTTCGAAGAAATGAAGCTAAATGAAGTAATTGTCTATCATCTTCTTCACCATCCCATTTTTTTAAACGATGTAAAGCATTTCGTGGTTGTAATTGATAAGCTTTTTCATCCCAATCTAAGAAAATTATTTTTTTTACATCACGATTAAGACATGATAAATCCTAGAAAAGAAGAAAAGAATTTTTTATTTTAATGAAACTAAAAACATATGTAATTACTTTAACATGGGTGCCATTTAAAAATCGAGTATTTTCACGAAATAAACGATACATTATACGATGATCAGTATCCATATTTTCTATAACTGACGCTGCACCCTAGAAAAATAATCATTTAAATCCTTTTATTTCAATTCCTGTTAAAATAAAAATTAAAAAGTTTGAAGAAAGGAATATTTCTTTACATAATGATGAAATAAATAAACCATTGATTGTAAACGATTTCAATACGAAAAATTTCTCGCGTGATTCATACTGACTGTCTTTAGCATCGTAAAATAAATGAAAATATTATATTTACTTCGGCATTTTATCTTAGTCGAGGTGACTAAATAGAAAACAAATAGAAATCGACTTATCTTATCTTTCACTCTAAAATAATTTCTTTGTTAAAGTTTAATTAAGATATGCACTAATTATCTCTGATAGTTCGAAAATCGTACGATGACTCGAACAATGAGTTAATCGTATATGAAAAATTATTAGTATAAAATATTCAATCTCGCATCAACAATATGCAAAATTTAAATTTACAAATTTATACCATCCATCTAAACACTCTCATACACTGCTTCGAGTTAAAATGAAGGACACAATCATTCTCTCTACCTATTCGATTCGATAGTCCTATTGATGAACTTGATAAGTGTTAGTGTCGATTTCAATTGACGAGTCAAACATCAAATTTCTCCATGATAATGGAAGGTTTTGTAGTATTTAAAAAGGACCTTAGACATATTCACGTTAAATGAAAAACTCTTATTGCCAAACTAACAAATTCAAAATATAAGTGGCGTGCACTGAGCGAGATAATAGACTTTTTAATGTATATATAGTATGCATCAAATACCCACAAGTCAAAACTTTAATACTATTTATTTTTCTTTATTCGTGACGTTTAAATAAAGTTCGTCGAGTTACATAAGAAAAAGTGTGTTTCAAATTAAACAAAAGTTAACAAAAAAAAAGTTCATGGTTCCATCATCTTCAAATATCAGAAAAATAGACTAAAACAAAATTCTGACTTCTATGAAATGTTCTAAAATCTGTTCTTAAGTTTAAAATACACTTTTTCTTATGTAAATTGATGAGTTCTATCCAACCATCAGGAAAAAAGAAAAATAAATTATATAAAAAGTTTGACTTGTAGGTATGTTACATGTGCTGTGAATGCCTAAACATTTCATTATCGCGTTCAGTGCACATCATGGGTAGTTCATATGTTCAATTTGTCGATATAGTAGTGAAAGCTTTAATTTAATCCACATATATCTAATGTTCTTTACTAAAAATATTAAATCTTCTATTGTCAGATATTTTTGTTGTTGCACAGTAAAGTAACATTTCAAAGCAAAACACAAAACACGATGTGTTTGTTAATTCGATCAATTAAGTATTGAGATTTTATGTGAACATATCTTGAACAAGGAATTTTTCTCAAGGTCCTAATCAGAATCTCTCTCTATTTGACATGAAAAAAATAGCAAATAAAAAAATTTCATTCATTGAAATATTTCTATACTTTCATACCCATGGTGTTTCTTTTGTATAAATAACAACTTCATAAACTGGATAACCAACTTCTTTTAAAAAATAATCTAATCCTGGTCGTTTTTTATATCTCCATCCTGTATTATAAGCCCATTCTGGATGTAATAAAACTCCTGACATTTCAATAACTAATGTATATTTTGGTTGATAAGGTGCTGGTAATGGTTCAGGTAAAAGTTTATCACTTGTTGGATCTTTAATTGTTTGCCAATAATTTATAACTTCTCGAAATGATCGTTTAATATATTGTTGCCATATTGGTAAATTTGAATATTGATCGTGTATAATATTTCCATTTTGATCAATTTGTGGTGTACCCCAAACAAGAATAATATAACCAATTGTTGAAAATAACCATATACCAAGAAAATATCCTGTATATTTTAACATACGCACATCCCAAGCTGCTCGAGCTTCACGTTCATTTTTTTCGTCATCAGGTTGACCTTTAGTATATTTTTTTGGATCTGATGATGTTTTAGAAAATATAAACGGTGTTTTATTATCATGTTCACCCATTAATGAAGATAATTTCGATGGTGACGAAGCATTATTACTTGTTGTTTGTTGTTGAAAATACAAAGCAGAAAATGTGAATGTACGATTATTTATTTTAATTGTCTGTCGTTCAAAAAGTGTTAATGAACGAGGAATAGACCAACAATTCTGAAAAAATATTCTTGATCGTAATGCAGAAAACATTTCTTTTATTGTAATCTGAAAAACTTTCATTAAATAAAAAAAAACTGAATAATCATTCAAACTATATGGCGTGTTTTTATAATATAATCAAATGTTAAAAATAAATCATCAAGATAGAGAGAAAAAAAGACAATTAATGCTTTGAAAGACTTTGTGTTACATATATATGAATAAAAAAAAATTGTTATGCATGAGAAGCTTTTCCATTGACTTCATCAGGCGATAATGGTGAATCTACTATGTCATTTATTGTCTCATTTGTTTTTGCATCGAGTAACTCTTGTTTAGCTCGTCGTACAGATGGCGAATCATTGAGCATACCTTTCTTTACTGAGTTATATACGTAAAGAAATGCAGAAGCTAATAATGCTATTTCAAGACATATGATAAAAAATACTTCAAGAATAAAATAACCATAACTATCAAGAATTAAACCAGTAAATATGTTCCTAAAAAAAAGTAAATCAAAAAAGAAAGATTGATTGATATTTAAAACTTAAAAGAAGAACAAAACTACATACATTACAGCAAGACCTAGATTTTGAATTGATTGCATAAACCCATAGGCTGTACCTAACATTTTTTTAGGAACGAGAAAAGCAACCATTGGCCATAATGATGCAGCTAATATTGAATAAGATATGCCCATTAAAATAAGAGGTGCAACTGGATGAACAAAGAGAAATGCAAGAAGAGCATGAGCAAATATTGTTGTTGTTATACTGCCCATTAACCAATAAAGATTTCTACCGGTCTTATCAACAACATAACCAAGTAATGGTGAAAGAATAGCTGACCTTAAAAAAAAAACAAAGAAAATTCTTCTATTATTTCTTCGATTATTCTCATTTTTTGAACATACATGAAATAAACTAAACTATTGCATGCATTTGACCAAGCAGGTGATAGATTATATTTTGATTCAAAAAGTAATTGTGCAGCAGCAATAAATGGAAATATTGCAACATAATAAAATACACAGATAATAAATACACAATAAAGTGAAGCTGAAAAATGTCGAATATCTAAAATTAAACAAAAAAATTAAAATTATATTTATTATTACTTCATTGAAACATACCTCGAATATGAAATTCATCAGCTAGAAAGTAATAATACAACAAAAAGAAAATAGAAAAAGTACAAAAACAAATTTATATTCATACCTGGATCATGTGGATGATCTTCTTTGATAACTTTTCGTCGTCGAATATCTAATGTCCAAAGAATAAGTGCACATACAAGCGAAATAAGACAAGTTGAAACAGCAATTAAAAGTGTTGCACCAATACGATGTGGACCAGTTAAATCTTTATCAAGTGAATCATAAATTCGATGAATTGTATTCATATTTACTAAACTTCCCTTAAAAATGAAAAAACTTCTTTTTTTTTTTTATTTTCTTATCATATAAAATTCATTCTACATACAACACGAGCAAATGAAAGTTGTAAACCAAATACGAAATTTAATTGTTTTCCAAAAAACCATGCAACAGCATATGCATTTTGTGCACTTGATAATGATTCACCACCAATACCAAATATAAAACGGCCAGCATTCATAAGCCATATTAAACGTAAATAACCACCAAAACCAAAAATAACTTGTCCAACAAGAATAAAACCACAAAATATAGCTGCACCACGAGCTACACCAAGCCATTTATCGATTAATATACCACCAACAGCAGCAAGTCTATTATATTATTAAATTAATGATTTTATATAATATTATTTAACTTACACAACATTTGGCCATGAATACCAAGAATAAAATGATGTAAAAGTTGATGAGGAAATTTTTAAATCTGATTTCATTACATCTTCTAAACCAGCTGGATTATCATAACAATAATAAGATCCTACAAAAAAAAAAAAAAATAAATAATACAAAAATTTCTTAAATATAATAAAATTCATTTTTACCAAATGATAAAAAGCACATAAAAAATACGGCTACCCATTTAAGATATGGTCCACGTGGATCAAGTAATCCATGATAAGATGTTGTTCCTGGACGACCAATTAATCGAGTTTGTTCATTATTAATTGGGCTTGTTTCTTCCATTTTTCTATACTAAGTTCAAAGATCTCAAATGCAAAAAAGAATACAAATAATGATGATAACATAAACTCTATTCATTAGTCATTTAAACAACTGATCAAATGTTTGTCTGATAATAAATTTCTATTCAACATTTAGTATTTCAAATAAAATAAAAGTAAACGACTGATAACGTTTATTTTATTCATTATCTTGCCTTTAGAATATTAAAAAAACAACTGACATCTATGTTTTACTATTGATTATTAAACTATACCAATAAAAATTTTTCAAATGATTCATCAAAATAAAATTCCCATTGATGAATGAATATTTGAAAATTTTTTATTTCTCATTTCTTTTCTTACGTAAAACTATGGCAAAAATTAAACGTTTGATAATTCTTGATCTTAATGGTCTTCTTATTCAACGTGTTCATAAAAATCTATATTTCAAATGTAAATCTTTATTTGAAGAACAATATAATCTTGGTAACTTAACTCGTCCAGAACGTAAAGGTAATTTTGCTGTATGGTTTCGTCCTAATGTTAAAGAATTTCTTACATGGTTAATGGAAAATTTTCATGTTGCTATTTGGTCATCTGTATTATATCATAATATTTCACCTATTGTTGAATCATTATTACCTGATGAACATGAACGTTCGCGTTTATTATTTTGGTGGAATCAAGAACATTGTTTCGTTGAAGATAATCCAACAGCAACAGATCCAACAAATGCAAAATTATTTTTTAAACGTTTAACATCTGTATGGGATACAGCTGATATCAATGAACGTTGGTTATTAAATCAACCAAATAATATTGATTTACGTGATCATACATTATTAATTGATGATAATAAATTAAAAGTACGTGATAATCCAATACATACAGCTATACATCCACGTGCATGGAAATTATTCGAATTATTTGATGATAATACTAATATGAAAATATATAAAGATCAAGTTTTAGAAAATAATGGACAATTAATGAAATGGTTAGAAGGTTTATTAGAATGGAATGGAACTGTACCAGAATATGTTGAAAAACATCCATATATTGATCCAGCTTTAGAAGAAATTGAGAAAAAAGCTAATGATTCTTGGAATTCTGGTTGGGACTAAGTTTTGAAAAAAAAAAAAATTGTACTCTTTTTTTTATACGAGAATATTTTCTTGTTTGGTTTCTTTGTTTTTGTAGATGGTTAGTTTAAATACACAAAATAGTCGAAGTGGAGGAGTAAGTTAGTTTTTGTTTTGTATTATTTATTGTTTTTTTTTTTTCTCTTCTTGTCAAGGCAATGTCATTTGAGGATCGATTGATACATGCAAATGATGAAATCATAACAGAAAATACTCCACTTATTATTGGTATTGAACAATATTATCGACCAATACGAACAACTGCTTTTATTATTATTCATATTTTACTTGCAGTAAAAACAAAAAAGAAAAAGAAAAATATTTATGTAAAATGTTTTTTTTTCTGTTTTGTTTTAGATTATATTTGAAACGGTGATTGTATTATTTCCGTTTTTATGCTATGATAAAAGAATTGCAGACGTATGTGATCATCACTCTCCGTATAATATTTCATTATATATACATGCTGGTTTTTATATTATCAGTGTTATTTTTGATCGGTATGATTAAGAGAAATTTCAATATGAAAAAATTTTTAAGAATAATTATTTAATGAACTTTTTTCAATGTAGATCCTGAATAGATAAAGGGTGATTGAAAAGTTTCGATCTCTCTCGTAATAAATCTATGATATCTATAGCAAACTTATATGAAGTTATTGATCAAATTATGTCATTTCGTAGAGAAAGATTAGAGCTATCATCTGAAAAAAAATTTGTTCGAAATACATAAATCTATTACAATCTTATGGTCATTTTACTAATCTTGAGTAAAAAGTTTTACATTACATTTTTTGAAAAAAGCAAAAAAAATCTTTAATGTTTAAGTCGAGCCAAATATTATTTTCTACATGTTTTTAATAGATATTTTTATGTGATTCGATAGAATTCAACAAACTCTACAAAAATATGAATATGGGAAAAAAAAACATTTGAATCCTACTTCTAATATAAAACTCGAATGAAAGCACGCAAACTAATAAAAATCTTGCATATCTTTCATGAGATAGTACGCTTAAGATTCAAAAACTTTAGTTGATCGACTGTTAGTTGATGTTTTGAGATGCATTATTACATACGAAAGTTGAAAATATCTATTCTGAGCTGCCTGAATAGATGGAACAGTCAATCAGCTAACATTTTTAAAAGATCAACTTACTCTCTGTGATATTTGATACATGAAATTATTATTAATTCTTCTGCTTTTCTTTAAGTTTTATAGTGAAAATAAGATCAAATATTTTGTAAACATATATATTCTTTTAGAGCTTGTCGAACTCTCTTGAATCATTTAAAAAAATTTAGAATACAATATGTTGCTTAAGATGTTACAAACATATTTTGTTTTTTTTTCAAAAAATGTAATGAAAAAATTTTCACTCAAGATTAGTAAAATAACCATAAGATTGTAATCGATTTAGGTATTTCGAACAAATTTTTTTCAGAAAATAGCTCTAATCTTCCTTTACAAAATGACATAATTTGATCAATAACTTCATATGAGTTTGCTATAGATATCATCGATTTACTGAGGGAGGTCGAAACTTTTCAAACGCCCTTTATTTTTAATGTTTTGCAAAACATATTTTAGTCAACATAAAACAGAGTGATATTTTCCCAGAAATATTTTTTCATGAACCGTTTGATATTAAGAACGATTGAGAATGGTTTTAAAAAATAGATTATACGAATTACAATTAATGTCATTCATGAGAAACTGTTTTCAACGGTCACATGACTGAATGCAAGTAATAAAAATAGTTTCTACGACTAACAGTGAAATAACCGATTGTATTCATGCTTGATTG